TGGGAAATACAATCATAGTGAAACCACAAGGCTACAATAATATCAGAAATTTAACTTCAAATAAAGGAACAGTACCAGGGATAAAGAAAAGCATTTCATAATGATAAGGAGACTCATTCATCAAGAAGATACAAAAAATGTGTATAATCAGCTTAGTAAGAGAAATTCAAAATACATAAAAGTTAACACAATTGAAAGGAGAAATCAACAAAACCACAATCATGATTAGAGATTTAAGGAATCCTGCCTCTGTAAATGATAAAATAATTAGACACAATATCGGTGAAGATATGAAAGACATAAACAGCACTATCTACAAACTTGACATAATCCACATGTACAGCAGAACACATGTTGTTTTCAAGTACACGTGAAATATCCATCAAAACAGACCATACAAGCAGGTCATAAAATAAGTCTCAATAAATGTAAAAGAATTCCTCAACACAGAGTATGTTCTCACATCAAAATGGTTAATTCAGTTACAAACCAATAAATAAAAGTCTCTAGAAAAATCCTTCAATATTTTGAATTTGAATTACCTACTTTAAATTTACCCATAGGTCAAAGGTGAAATCACAAAGGAAATTACCAAATATTTTGAACTGAATGAAATAAGGACATAATATGTTAAAATGTGCAGAATGCTAGTAAGACAGTGCTTCAGATTAGGAGGAAAAGGGCCTAAATTTTATTATTTAAATTTCCATCTTAAAAAGCAAGAAAATGAAAAGCTGTCTCAGCACCTGTAGCTCAGCAGTTAGGGCATCAGCCACCTTACCGGAGCCGGTGGGTTCAAACCCAGCCTGGGCCTGCCGAACCACAATGACAACTACAACCAAGAAAACAGCCGGGCGTAGTGGGGCACCTGTAGTCCCAGCTACTTTGGAGGCTGAGGCAAGAGAATCGCTTAAGCCCAAGAGTTTGAGGTTGCTATGAGTTGTGATGCCACCACACTCTACTGAGGGTGACAAAGTGAAACTATCTCAAAAAAAAAAAAAAAGAAAGAAAGAAAGAAAGAAAGGAAAAAGAACAGCAAATTAAGTGGAGGAAAAGAAATAATACACATCAAAGAAGAAATCAATGAAATAGAAAACATAACTAATCTTTGAATAAAATTTAAAAACATCTAGCCAAATTTATCAGGAAAAAAGAAATATAAAAGACACAAATAACCAATAGCCAGAAAGGAAAAGGGAACATCACTAAAGAGCATCTGGTCAGTAGCAAATTATTAGCTTAATAATACAGGAAGAACTGTGGGCACTGAGACAGTGGTCCACACCCAGAATCCCCACACTTTGGGAGGCTGAGGAGGATGGCTTGAGCCCTGTAGTTCAAGACTGTTGATAACTGTGGCAACAGCAAAAATAAATAAATGGCACCTGCTCAAGTTAAAAAGCTTCTGCACAACAAAGACACAACCAACAAAACAAACAGAGACCTTCAGAATGGAAGAAGATACACATGTTACCAGTTGGAGACAGGGCTGATAACCAGAGCCTACAAAGAACTCAAGCAAATCAGTAAGAAAAGAGCAAAGAGCCCCATAAGGTAAATCTTTTTGCAAGAGGACAGATGAATGGCCAACAAACACACTAAAAAATGCTCATCATTCCTGATTATCAGAGAAATGCAAATCAAAACCACTTTGAGATATCACCAAGCCCAATGAGAACAGCTCACATTACAAAGTCCCAAAGCTGCACGTGTTGGCAGGGGTGGGAAGAGAGGGGAGCACTTATGCACTACTGGTGGGATTACAAACTAATACGGGGTTTTGGAAAGAAGTGTAGAGAATAATCAAGGAGCTGAAAGTAGACCTTCCATCTGATCCTGCAATCCCATTACTAAGTACCCAGAAGAAAAAAAAAAAAAAACATGTTATCATAAGGACATTTCCATTTGAATGTTTACAGCAGCTCAAGTCTTACTCACAAAGATGTGGGAACAACCCAGGTGCCCATCAACACATCAGTGGATTAATAAAATGTGGTGTATGTATACCATGAAATACGACTCAGTCATAAAAAAGATGGAGGCTTCGCATCTTTTGTATTTACCTGGATGGATTTGGAGATCATTCTCCTAAAGTATCTCAAGAATAGAAAAGCAAGCATCCCATGTGAGACCCTTTGCTACGGGGTCTCCCTCTGTCCCTGGGTAAAGTGTGATGGTGCCGTAGCTCACAACAACCTCCAACTCTTGGGCCCAAGTGATCCTCTTGCCTCAGCCTCCCAAATAGCTGGAAGGACAGGCACCTGCCACAACGCCCAGCTAGTAAAATTTTTAAAATGTCTTTAAAAAGAACTATGTCAACAAAGTAAATAATCTACATGAAACAAATTAAATGTCCTATAAGACACAAGAAAACTGTGGGCACTGAGACAGTGGTCCACACCACTTAAAAATACAAGTTCAGTTTGTCATTTTCTTACACAGTTAAGCATATACAACTCAGCAATTCCATCCAGGAATTTACCCAAGAGAAATGAACCATGTGCTTATATAAAAACTCACACAAATGTTGATCACTACTGTACTTCTCAGAGCCAAAACCAGAAACAATTCAAACATCCATCAACAGGTGAAGGCTAAACCAATTGTGGCGCATCAATATAATGAAATACAGCTCCCCAGAGAAATCACTACGGATAGAAGTAACATGGAGAAGTCGTAAAAACACACTGAGGAAGAGAAGGCAGACACACAGAGGACGTACTGTGTGAGTCCATCATACGGAATTCTGGAAATGAACTCACAGTGACACAAAGCAGATCGATGGCCACCGAGGGCCAGGCTGGTAGGGGACAGGCATTCAGTGAGTGTTTCTGGTTAAGGGAAATGTTCTATATTTAATTATTACTGTAGTTACACGACAGCATACACATGTCGAAACTCAAACTGTACACAATAAAAGGTATCCACAACTTAATTTTTACAAGATTTAGTTGAAGCTTAGTACTAATTTTAAGATGACTGTTTGGATCAAGCGCTTCTCCCCTTGGTTCTGCATACCTTTATTCTCCAGTTATCCCCAACATCCTCTTTAATTCGGCTTAACCAAGATTCGTTGAACCAAGCTGCATCACTAAAATTAAAAAAGAAATGCTAAAGATTACAACATTTTATTACAGACATAATACCAAACTCAACAGAGAAAGTTACTTTCTATCTTATAGCCGATGCTTAATAGCAGTAAGTATGATTTATATGGTAACGTGATACTTTCTCATATTAAATTATTTAAGTCATGAATGTCTTTGGCTTAACAAACGTTTATTAAACATTCAATATAACACACCCTGCTAGCAGGGAGGTGTAAAAGTCCCCAAACTGAAAAGGTAAAAAGACAAGCAACGTTTTAATGTGAATCCACTATGTATCAAGCGCCATACTTGACCTCTTCCAAATATCATAGTAACTTGGCACAGGACAGACTACTGCTCCCAATCTTACTATCAGGGAGAATTAAGAATGATGACAGCTTCTGAGTACTTCTCCCTGAGTGAAACTAGCACATGACAAAGCCCCAAATAAATCTATTGAGTAGAAATAAGTAGAATAAGTTTAAATGAGAAATCTATAAACACTAGCTTAGTTTTAAAGAGAAATCCTATACTGATAACTGAAAGCCAAGACAAAAAATTGTATACTAAATTTTTGTGCATTTAATAAAGTTTGAAGAACATTTGACTATATAGAGCAGTGGTTCTCAACCTTCCTAATGCCTTAGAATGCCGTGACCCTTTAATTCCTCATGTTTTGGTGACCTCCAACCATAAAATTTTTGTTGCTACTTCCTAACTGTAATTTTGCCACTGTTATGACTCGTGATGTAAATATCTGATATGCAGGATGTATTTTCATTGTTACAAAGGGGTCGCGACCCACATGCTGAGAACTGCTGAGATAGAGTGAACTATGTTAACAGACTACATTCTACATTCCAAACAAGTATTTGGATGCTTGCCCTGAGTAAGAAATTAAGCACTATTATAACATGAAGATGAATCATTTACCATTTCAGCTCTTACAGAAATAGCATAAAGAACACAAGTAACTAAACTTGAGAGAGAAAGTGATAAACTCTTTGAGGATGAAGTAACTGCAAATCCACAGAGCGTTTGTGCTGGTGAGGCCTTAAGGGTCTCCCCTAAATCTTCCCTTTACAGATAAGCCAACTACAGTGGTGGGGTGGGGCATTTAGGAAACGCCTCACCAAGGTTGTACCATCAATTTTAAAATGCAAAACTGAAACTACTGAACACAGTCCCAGCTTTTCAGAGATCATTCTGCCTCAGATGTTCTAATACAGAAGCTATCACTTCTGGCTAGGGTAACTGAAAGAATGGCTTCATTTAATTTATTGGAAGTTTATAACTATTTTCTTTTTTCTTGATAATTTTCACATAATTATTGTACAATGGCCCCTCTGTTTTGAGCAAATTAATACTAATTGTGTTAAATTTTTCCCAGATGTTAAGGCTACAATTATAAAAGCATCTCAATGTGTACATGACACACCACTAACCAAGTATTTACCTGATATGACTGAACCAATTTAGTTAATGAGACGAACTGTCAACATAAATTTTCTTTTTACAACAGATTAAGTAATAATAAGTCCTAAACAAAAGATGTACACCAGCAATGATGGTTAATTTTATGTGTCAGCTCGGCTAGGCCACAGTGCCCAGATACTTGGCCAAACACATCTGGATATTGCTGTGAAGGTATATTTTTAGATGAAATTAACATTGAAATCAGTACAGTTGAATAAAGCAGCTAACCTCTAATAAGGTGTGTGGGCCTCGTCCAATCAGTTGATGGCCTTAAGAAAAAGACTGGCCTCCCCCCACCCACCCCAGCCAGTTCTGCCAGAATCCTGACTCTGGCTGCTCCTCCTCAAGTCACGCACTACCCTGCTGGCCTACCTGCAGATTCTGGACTTGCTACATCCAAAATCACATGTGCCAATTCCTAAAAACAAATAAATAAATATCTCTATACAATGTATGTGTGTGTATACACATCTACACTACATACACACACCCCTTGTTGGTTCTGTTTCTCTGGAGAACCTTGGCTACCATACAGTCTTCTAAGCGACCCTAACAATTTAAGTATTTTACTCTATGCTACAATTATCTCTCGGAACTAGATCTACAGATAGCCTGTTTTGTTACCTAGTGTTTCCAAGATAATTCCCTTTGTCTGCCTTTCCATCCCAACTCAACTTTAGCCTGAGAAATACTTTCTAACTTCTCCATAAAAGATATACCACCCACTGGCTTTCTAATAAACAAATTCACCCTTCTC